GATAGGGAGGGGGTCTGGGAGGGTATTTACCGAGTAATCGGGAGGGACCGCAAAGAGGCAGGAGGTCGTAGCCCTAATCAAGAACGGCGCACCACTCAGTGCCGCCGAATCTGCATCGCACCTGGCTGAAACCTTCTATCCGGAGGACTCAGTGGACACTGACAGCCAACACCATACGGACACCCGGGATCTCGCACAGCGGGTAAACGACCGGGTCCATGATGAGGTGCATGACCCGCCGTTTACAACGCGCGAGATGATGACCGCGGTGTCCAGCTTCAACCCGAAGAAGGTGCCAGGTGCAGATGGCTTCACGGCGGACATCTGTCGTCAGGCCATTCTCCGGGACCCTGATACCTTCCTTGCCCTGGCCAATAAGTGCCTCACCCTGGGGCACTTCCCCAAAAAGTGGAAGGAGGCCACAGTCGTGGTGTTGAGGAAGCCGGGCAAGGAGGACTATCAGAGCGCCAAGTCATACAGGCCAATCGGTCTGTTGCCTGTATTGGGAAAAGTCCTGGAGAAAATGGTAGTTGCAAGACTCCAGTGGCACCTGGTACCGAGGCTCAGTACTCGCCAGTATGGCTTCATGCCCCAGAGGAGCACCGAGGGCGCCCTCTATACTCTAGTGAACCAAATTAAAGCAGAAATCAAGCTGAAGAAGTTGGTCACGCTAGTCTCACTGGATATAGAGGGCGCCTTCGACAGTGCATGGTGGCCCGCCATCAAGGTCCGACTGGCTGAGGAAGGTTGCCCGGTCAATATCAGGCGTCTGCTGGACAGCTACCTAGGCGACAGATGTGTGAAGCTGAGGTACGCCGGGGCGGAACATCGCCGAGAAACCCAAAAGGGCTGCGTCCAAGGGTCCATAAGCGGACCTATCCTATGGAATATCCTCCTAGACCCGCTCCTGAAGGGTCTGCACGAACGGGGCGTCACCTGCCAAGCGTTTTGCGGATGACGTGGTTCTGCTGTTTCGCGGAGTATACTGGCGTTAGAGGTGCAGCGACATGCCAATGCCGCCCTAGACTTTGTTCAGGGGTGGGGCGTCAAAAACAAATTAAAATTTGCGCCACATAAGACCTGCGCCATGCTGCTGACCAACAAGCTCAAGCATGACCACCCCGCTCCTGAGCATGGGCGGGGTCGACATTGGCATGTCCCGAGAACTGAAGATTTTGGGGCTAACTATAGACGACAAGCTGACGTTTAACACCCATGTCGGCGTCGTCTGTAGGAAGGCCCCTAAATATTTACAAACAGCTCTCGAGAACGGCGAAAATAAGCTGGGGGCTGCACCCGGAGGTCGTACGCATCATATACACCGCAAACAGTAGAACCGGTCATCACGTATGCGGCAGCCGCATATGCTCCCGCCGTTGAGAGCTGGGTGTCCGCAAGCTCCTCGACACTGTGCAAAGAGGATTCGCTCAGAAGATCTGCAAATCGTACCGCACTGTCTCCCTAACTCGGCCCTACTACTGGCCGGGTTACTACCTCTGGACCTTCGTATAATAGAAGCAGCCGCCTCTCTACGAAGCGCGCAAAGGGTCGACTCGGCTAGTGCTGGGGGACCGGGAGGTAGAACGTGTGGTGCGATTTGCGGAACTACCACATCCGGCCCAGCGTATGGACTTGAGGTTCCAGAGTCTGGAGGACCAAAGCCTGGTAGAGCAACACAACGTGCAGTCGCTACGTATCTTCACAGATGGTAGCAAGCTCCATGGCAAGGTCGGCGCCGCGCTGTCCATATGGGACAGCCGGGCCGAAGTGCGGAGCCGAAAACTGGGCTTGCCAGCGTACTGCACAGTCTACACAGGCCGAGCTCTTGGCCATTCGCAGAGCCTCGAGCGAAATCCTCAGGTGCAGTGCGGGGAGCTGCGGCATCTACAGCGACTCGAGGGCGGCGCTGGAGACGGTGACGAACCCCCGGAACCCTGCTTTAAAAAAACCTCGCGAGGCCTTGACTAGGGCAAAGATTTTAACTTTGTTTGGATCAAGGCCACGGGGCATCGACGGTAAGAGCGCGCCGACCATTTGGCAAAGGAGGCGGACTTGATCGGAGGAAGCCCGATACGCCCTGGCCGGTTTCATCGAAGCGACAGAACGAGCGATTCGCTCGACGATGGAAAACCGGAGATCCCAGTCGGGCCCCACAGGGCCCTCCGCACGAAGGTTCTTCCCGGGACGCAGAAAGGTACTCCCTGGTGCGGAAGACCGGCCCCAAGGGTTGCTAAGCAGATACAAAACGGGAATGGGGGTTCCCCCAATACCTGCATCGCTCAGGGCGGGGAGCCCGTCATGATCTGCGCCCCCGCAAGGACAAAGACGCCCACACTTTATTTTTGACTCCCCCGTCTTCGGGGCAAAACGACAGAAGCTGAGAAACGTTTTGGATAAAAATGGGAAAAGAAAGAGGGCACACCATCTACTGGAGAAAAAAGGACAAAAGGCCCGAAATTTTAGAATTCGTATAAAAATTTGAAAAATCACAATCCCAAAAAACCCAGTAAATAAAAAAAGACGTAATAAAAAAACAGAGAAAACCCAAAGACTCTGTCATGAAGGGGTTTGCATTTAAAAAAAAAAAAAAAAAAAAAAAAAAACAAACCTAACCTAACCTAACCTTTTTTTTTTTTTTAGGGGGGGAAACCCTCTGGACTACCTCCCCCTGGGGAAAGGGGGAGGGCGTGCCGGACTCTTACCGGCAAAAAACCCCCCCGGGTGCCCCCCTGCACATGCGCGCGGGGCGGGGGAAACCCAAATTACCCGCACCCCCACACTAGTGCTGGCCCGGCTGCCGGGCCGTCTCCGCACGGGGTAGTGGGTTTTTAATCCCCCGGGCTCGCCCCCAGAGGACGCGCCGACACCCGCGGCGCCCCGCCATGCGGTCCATCGAATAGGGGGCGGGGATTCCCCAAGTCTCTCGCCCCCGGACCCATTCATGGGGGCCCGGAAAAGTGCGTTGTCCGCCCCCTCCTGCGCCCGGTCGCCTTTGCGGGGGAAAAGGAGCGAGGCCTCCTCTCCCGTTCCCAGTTTTTCCCTTTGCGACTTTACTCCTCGCAGAAGGAACACCGCGTCCCAGACCTGCGTACCCCCATCCTCCGCATCGGGCCCGGGAGGGCGACGCCCCTATTCATTGTGAGGACACGGCGCGCTCCTCCCAAGCTACACACTCGGCGAGCGTGTGTTGCGCCGTGTAATCCCCCCCAATTGACGCAGTGGTGGTACGAGCGTCCCACTCCCGTCTAGGAAATTTCCCAAGCAGCCTGCCCCGACAGCACCTGCGTCACCCAAACGACAGGGGGGCCGTGCCTTCTCCCGAGCCAGCTCGAGTACTGGCCGGGTCGCCTCGACGGTAGCGAGGCCCACGGGGGGGCGCAGAAGCTTGCCGCCATTTCCCCCACCAAGACCCGACGGAGCTCCCCTCGGAACAGGCGATTGCCGCGCACCGGGGCCCCGGGCCACGTGCCCGCTCTTCCTGCGCCATCGGTATAATGACGCGAGTACTTTCGCCCAAAGGCCCCAAGGGCGGGGAAGCCGCCTCGTAGGAAATCGTGCGATACCCGCTCATGCTCATGCTCGGGTAAAGGAAGATGAATGTTTGAGAAAGTTTGGGAAATCGAAGAGGTAATTAACCCCAAAGAAAACACTTACACAGTCATTTATTCCGGATTCACTGTTTGAAAAGTATTTTTACACTAATTAAACTAGAAAGGGGTTTCTGGCATTCCGTAAAAGATTTTTTAAGGAAAAACAACAATTTTTTAAAAACTATTTACAAAATACAAAGTTGGAAGCGCACTTGGAAAATGTTGTATACGATTAACACAGATAGAAGTATTTACAATAGAGTACAAACAATTACAAGAGAACAGCTATATATAAAAAGAAATCAAGTTCACCAAAATCACTCTGCCCCTATCTTGTTAACAAGGGTATTATAAAAGCAGAGGTAGACTCGAAAAAACACAGACTCATAATTCCTCATTTCTAACTACGGAGCTACGCAACAATAGTTCAATCGATAAATTTATAAATCTCCAATGAATTTACAATGTTGATTATTACAAATAGACACGACTATATCTTTGATACGTATCTAAAATTATGTCTAAAAAAAAAAATTTTTTTCGGGAAAGTAAGTGAATGGACTAATGTCGCCATGGCCGTTTCTTCGGATCGTTTTTTGTAGATAGATCTTACCTAGTTCCTATTATTTTTACATAGTGTTAGGTCAATTTTTTAAATGTAGTTATAACTTTTTAAATTAAGTTTGTAGTTGTTTTCACTTTTAACATCTTTTCATCGGTTTCAATTTTGGTAAAAATAATTTGTTTACTTTTTACTTCTGTGCCTCGATCCTATATAAGCTATAAAAATTGGACAAGTGCATGTCTGAGTCGCACACTGGGTACCGTAAGGACTTTACATAATTCTAGCTCTAAAGTGAATAAAAACCCTTTTTTTGGCAGTCCACTGTGGACATAGGCCTCTCCTTAGAAACCTCCTTTCAAGGAGAGGCCTATGTCCAGCAGTGACTATTAAAGGCTGTTTATGATGATGATGATGAAAGTGAATAAAAACCATTTGTTTGGCAAAATATTTAAAATCTTGAAAATACAGTCTTCTGATTTCACAACTGCCGACTGGATACCAAATTTCAATTTTTGGATATCTGAAAGTGGTTATTCCTACTCGTATGTAAGAGTCAGTTAGTGATAAAAATGGTGATTTAAGAAGTTAAAGTGTTAAAATGGTGTTTTTAACGGTGTAATATAACCGAAACACCGTAGTAAGCAATAAGCGAGTCACACGTTTTACCTGTTTTAGAACAAACGTGTACAGAGGCGCTTTGGGTGACCGCGACATTCGGGTGATTCATTGCAACATTTAAATAACATTTCTAGCGTTGTAAGAACTTATTGTGGAACTGAACAATATACTATTGGGGTGAAACATTTAAAATATTACTTTATTTAACAAGCACTGAAATCCTTGTGCTATCGGTTAGAGTTATTACAGGAAAAAAAGTAGCCTCCCAATGGTTCGTATCCAACAGACGGCTCCTGCGTTGCCCTTTTCCTTTTCTTGAACTCGGCTTGTCTAGAACACATAGCCGTAGCGCTCGTGCCGGTGGAGCCGCAACGCACCCGGCACGGTGCAGTCGCATCGCTTAGCTGCGAGCGCGTCAAAGCCGTGCGAGCGTGCGCGCGCACGTTTTTCGGCTCGCGGCTGTAGAGGAGTCGTGTCATCAGTCGAGCGCGCCACTCGCCGTCGTGTCGCGTGTCGTCTTTTTTTCTCTGCCCCATGACGAAAACTCACGATTCGTTAGCATGTGTGTCTACGGACGCAACTTTTTTCTGTCACTTTATTAACTACTGTATGAATATTTAAATTAAATTGTATACAATTATTAACGAACTGTGTTTAAAGGTCGTGCGCGTGTGACCAGTTGATGGTAGTTGTAAAATGGTGCGGCTGTTCACGATGTCTTGTGGGCTTTGAGGTACGGTTTAACGGTGGCCAGGAGGCGACTCAGCAATCTGCTCGCGGAGCACAGAAACCAGAGAAGCGGGTGGTGACGAGCGCTGTTGTTGCGTGAGGGGCGCCACCCCGCACTGCACCGGCATCAACACTATCATGTAAGCATCTTCAAAATTGGGTTCAACACGCGATACTATTGAGTCTTGTTACCTTTATATGCAAAAAAACTCCTTATTCACTTAGCCTTATTTTTTAAAACCATCCCTTCCCAGGATCTAAAATGATGAATTTGGCTAAAAGGAAGTATAACTAATACGTTAAACAAACTAAAGACACACGCTTTTTGGGTAACTAGCCGAACTAAAGTGGGGGAAAATAAAGTCTATCTCAAAAAAAAATGTATGAATTATTAAGAAAAGAAGCTTTTTATCGTAAAAAAGGTTGTGGTAGGCACTAGATATGTATCATTGTTGTAAGTATTTTATTGACAGATATGGTAAAGTTAAGTCGGGTCATTATAATACAAATATCTTAAAAAGCACCCTACGAAATTTTTGGGGATATATTATTTTCTTAATTTACCATTTTTGTTTAACTTAACGGAAAAGTATAATTTTTTTTTCTATTTTTGAGCGATCTAGTTACAAAAGGCGTTTTTTTGTAAACTATTATTTACTTTAGGTTTTTAGTCTTTAATGAAAAATTATTCTTTATTAAAAGACTAAAAAAGTAAAAATTAAGTAAGCCCCGTAATTTGAGTACACCCCTTAGTAGGTACGTGCACAAGACATACCGTGGTATCAAGTTAACGGAAAACATGCGTTTTACACAGAATAGATACGGAGCAATTCTGAAGATTTTTTCAGGATAATCGACAAACTTATAAAATTATTGTATTGTCATCCGTCCTTGTTTTGAGTTTGCGAGCCCGTTTCAATTTTTTCCCGACTTTTTGAAGAGGGGAAAGTCACGTTGGGAAGATTACGTTACATACATATGTATATACGTACATAATATAGTTGAGGGTCAAACAGGTGATAATCTGACCTAAACCTAACCCGTCGGGTATCACCCGCGGTTTTGTTAATTGACTTAGTGGTAGTCGGGTCGGTTTCCATCGTTAAGTTACAAATCATATATAATCTTAGAAACTTTAAATTTTTTAAATTCGCAATTTAACGGTACCTAAACGTTAATTGAAAGTGAAATATTTTTTAAAATATTTGAATGGGACCAACCTCTAGTACCTACAACAAGCTAACTACTCATTTAAAACACAAATTTCAAATTGTCTACCTACCCACTGCAATGTCTGCTTTACACAAACAAGGTATCTTGGTAATCGGACTTATACTTTTATGTTTCACGCCAGTTACTATTTTTTTTAGTTAAAGTTCCAATATCTCAACTACATTTGTAAATCCAGTCACGCCTCTTATCCGAAGCGGTTAACAAAAGCGTATTAAATTTAAGTTTTATAAAATTTGGTTTTCTGAAGGCCAATATTCTGGTAATAAAACTCTATTTCGCAACTGTCATAAAAGGTTTTTTCGTAGAAAAATATTTAAGTGTTACTAACACTTGCAGATTCACATCATCATCATCAACAGCCTTTAATAGTCCACTGCTGGACATAGGCCTCTCCTTAGAAAGAAGGTTTTGGCCTACTAACCACGCTGGGGCTGACGGGTTGGCATTAGGGTTTGTGTCAAGTTTTCCTTCTTTTGCAGTGCTGGTGTTCCTGCGTTTTTTTGCGCCCTTTGTCGGCTCTTATGCACCCACGGGATGAATTGGGGTGTAGTACATTCCGTATTCTTAATCCCTCACTACACGGACAAACTTGCAGATTACCCATTCAATTTTCCTTACAACACGATGTAATTACATTTCAGTTAACGTTCGATGTTTAAAATAAATAATATCTTTATGGGCAGTTGTGAGATCGAGAGTTTATCGGAAATGAATGGTAACCGAACTTTTATTAAAGAAAATTTGGGTTTCTTTTAGTTCAATTTTAAAACTTTGATGCGCTTCAACTATACGGGTGGCATACAAAGTTTAATCAATTTCCTTGCCGCTTCCTATTATTCCTACGCGCTGAGTGTGCGGGTTCGATCCCCACCACTTTGTGAGATCACAATGTAGTTCACAACACTTTGTGAGATCCCAAAGGGTATTTTGAGTCTACTCTGTGTTGTTCCATTAATGAATTTAAAGTCCACCGCGACACAACACATATTCCTAGTGCGGGAGTTATGGAGTTTAAAAAAAAGCCACGTAATGATTCAACTGTTCAACTTTAGTCACATTATTGTAGCAGAAATAATATATAAATTATGATTTAAATCTATTTAAGAAATTTGTACATAATTCAATAAATCAATAATGCCTAAAACGAGACTGAGAAATCATTCTATACCATCCTCCTAACAAAATTACTAGCAAAAGGTGTCTAGGAAAAAAGATATTAGATTTTGAATGTTTCGAGAGTAGCTACTAATACTACTTACATAATATTATTGTCAATGACATTTGCTATACACATATGCAGACACGATCAATGCGAGAGAGAAACACTGCAAACTACATATGTACACCAACAAGCCGCCAGGCCCGCATACTACTAGTAGGCTAAAGTACTTTGAGGAAAGTCCAGCGGTAGACTCCAACGGCAGGCTATTATTGATCGATTGACATTATTACAGTTGGAACGAAATAAAACAATATTTATCAATATTTATAATAATGTCATTGCGTATCCCTCGTATTCGTAGTCAGGAATACGTGATGGCGTATTGTCAGACATTACGTACTTAGGTCAAATGAGTTCTTTAAAGAAGGTAAATGTGTTTCTGGCATTGTTCTTTCAGGTTCATCCACAGATTTAGGTCTCAATTGTTTGTAGGATGAAGACGACATACGAGTATACGTAACGTTGTAATTGGCTCCGCTATCACATTTATAATCCAGTCAGCAAGTTAAAAACCGGATAATGCTTGTTCCCGGTCCTAAAAATATGTGCGATAGCTCATTCGATTCGGGATGATGTCTGGAAAAAAGGCATCGAGGGCATTCATTAGCACATAAAAATTGCAATTGTTATTAACAAAAAGGAAAAGATATGGCTTCACTCTGTACTCTCTATCGTATATATCATGGAGAGTGCTCCGGGAATTCGTTCGGACTAATACTGGCCGCAACTTTCCGCCATCGTTCCAAAATTTTCATGCCGTCACCTGGATAATTGGCGCTCCACTACTGTGCGCTTTCGATACAATTTTTGAAAAGAGATCTTTAAAGAGGAGGAAAATTTCAATAAAAAATCTAGACTCCAGGAATTCTATCTGCATATTTATAATTTTTATTCGACGCCGTACCATCCATACAATATTTTTTATAGTTTTAAATATTAACTTAAAAATTTAAGATTTTTTACGTCATTACAACAATTGTAAGAATAAAGCCTCAGCAAAAAAATGACGATTTTTAAAAAATTGTTTATAGATTTCAAAAGAGTGTTTATGAACTAATCTTTATCCAATCACTGTTCTTACAAAAGTCGACATAAAAGTTATTGTAAAGTAATAGACCTATAAAGATTTGCTTCATGGAGCCCTTCTTATTTATGTACATACTTAATAAGATGACGTGATAAAAGTTTATTAAAGTTTATATTTTGTTAGTTCATCATTATTTTAATAAACAAAAAGTTATATTCAAAATGATTTTTTCTTTTTTGAGAATATACAGCTATATTTACAGCTGTTTTTGTATCTAGCAATGACATTAATTAAAGTAGGAAAAAAATACGTAATTTGTTATAAAAAGTTTATACTCGTAAACAAATGGACAAGTAAAAGAAAGGTAGAGTAGACTTGAAAATAATTTTGCCATTTGATCGTCAGGACAAGATGATCATTTAAAAAAAAACTTTAAATAAAAGAGAACACCCATTTCAGTGTGAAAATTACTTTGAGACTTTTTTCTATTTCAAATAAGTCTAATCTGCAGTAACGATTTTTTTTTATATTTTATAGTAGAGAGTAAGTATGAAATTGCCGATTTCTACAGAAAATTGAAAGTCGGTTTTTTCTAAGGTGGTAACTGTATTTAGTTACTATGACTGAGCTGTACGGTGACAGTGACTGAACTGTACTAGTTAGTTGTATTTAGTTTAAAACAAAAATTTACCCTCTAAACTGTCAGCTGCCGTCTAAACGGAAGTTCATTTATGACTTTACGATTAATTAGTAAGTAATTTCAAAAAATAATAATTGTATTTTAATTTTAAATTATTCAGTGTTTGTTTGATAGGCGCTCAAAGTAAAATGATTCATGTGATTTTTTTAGAAAATTGCATAATTATAGGTTGTTATTTTATTGAACGACATTTACGACATATTTTACGAAACGACATATAACGACATATTTTACGAAATATATTATATTATTAGAAAATGGAAGAAAAGACTATACTAACTATTATTTCATCCTTCTAAATTTTTATTTTGTCTAATCTGGTTATAACATTTTTTTTCTTTTAAAAAGACAACTCCGCATTAGGAAAATATCCTGTGTCGCGGGGGACTTTACAAACATACATGTAACGGACACAAAGAACACCAGACTCGGAACAAACAATTTGTGGATCACACAAAGTGTCGTCCATGTGGCGTTGAATCCACAACACTCGGCGTAGTAGGAAGCGGCGTGGCGACCGCTTAAAACCACTACGCCATCCGTGCAGTCGCAATTATAGAATTTATTATTTCAAAGTATTTTATTTATCTTCCAAATACTCTTTTACCTGTAGAAATACTTGCTG